CCATTTATTCATTTTAATATGCAACAAAGTCAGTTACAGACCCAGTCTACAGTCTAGTAGCAGAATATCTGTATAAAAACATAAGACTAAATGACTCACGGAACTGCACACTGAACATGTGTGCATACCACTATATATAAATTATACTTCAATAAAGTTGATTTTTCAAAAAAAAAGACAAATGATTAAGTGCAATAAGAAAATACTACATAAAAAACTTTATGTTTAAAAATATACCTTCCTTCAGAAGGAACTGCATTCAAAAGAAAACGGAAAACTTCAGAAAGATGGAATTTGTTTTCTCGTCGTCATTCGATTTTACATAGCCTTTAAGTTGCACATTTTTTTTACCTTATTACGTTTTTTAAATGATATTGACATATAACATCCTATTAGTTTTGAGTGTACATCATAGAAATATAGTATACACATTACAAAATAATCCCCACAGTAAGTGTAATTATCATCAGCATACAAAATTATTACAATATTGCAAATTTTTCCCCTCTTTAATCCCCTCCGCCCCCGCCCCCCGACTTCCACCCCTGACCTATGGATGCGGCCGTCTTTACGAACTGGATCTCTGAAGGCGGGGCGTCTCGCCCGCATGCACTCTCCGCCCCCACCCTGGACCTTGCGCCCCCGGTGCACTCAGGGGCCTGGCGCACCCAGGGTATAGTCTGTGGCTCCACCTGGAGCATGAACCAATGACCTTCTGCATGTAAAGCAGACATGCTAACCACTATACTAGGGAGCCACCCAGATTTTTTGAGTAATATATGCATTACTCAGTAACATTAACATTATTCATATATATTAGCATTATGAAGGACTATGAAGAAAATTAACCAACTTATGATAGACCTATCCATCTCCACTGAAGTACCACTAACTAGTGATAGCCATTTTAATCAATTTTAATATCTCTAGTGATAATGTATCTTTAAATAAGATCACTAAACTTCTATTTCAAGAATCACATAATTTAGATATCTACTGACCTGTTTTAACAGAAAAGGATTTAACAAACTTTTATCACAGAAAGAGGTAGAATTTGAAATAGAATGGGTATGACTTGGACATATGGCAATGGGCCATGTGGGCAGTCCCCATAAAGGGAAGAGTGTAGCTACAGCAGGGACAGTGGAAAAGGAACATTTGCAGGAAGTAAAAATAGCGGGAAATAAGAATAGCAGGAAATAAAAATAATGTCTAAGGCAAATCCCATGAAAAGGACTTCGGAGTAGAGAAGTGACAAGAACTGAGCTTTAAGAGTAATTTAGGCAGAAATGCATAAGATAACCTGGATAAAGGTGGAAGTGAAGGCAAAAATATCATAACATCAATCTAGGTGGGATGAGAACCTGATTCGGTTCAAAACTAATTAAAAAGGGAAAGTTATCAAATATAGAACTATATAGACAATATATATGGTATACAAATATATATCAAATCAAAAAATTTAAAGAAAAAGAACTATGAAAATCAAATACTAGATTTGAAAACTCAGTATATAAATTTCTGGATTAAACACTAAAATTCACAAAAGAAATAGAAAATCTACACAGAACAGCTATTAAATAAATTGGAATGGTACTAAAATCCTCTTCAGGAAAAAAAACAATCAAAGCCTGAATTGTCTCATAGGTAAGGCCTGCCAAACTCTCAAGTAAAAGATAATCTCAGTCTAAATTGCTCCTGAAAAGAGAAAAAGGAAAACTGTCCAACTCATTTTATGAATCTATCATAACCTAGACACCAACAAGTACTAAGAATCGTACCAGAGTTAGCAGGAAAAGAGTGAAAATACCATGAAAATAGAACCAATAGACAGATGTTGGCTATAGACAAGATGTGATGGAATGGGGAAAGAGCTGGGTTTGGTATAACATCAATAGAAATAAGGAACACCAGGGAAACAAGTTTGGTAAGGAAGAGTTCAGTTTAATACAGAACCAGTAAGAGATATGCATAAAGCAGATGGAAAAACATTGATTCAAGTGCAGAAGAGAAATAAATAGAGATTCGAGAATTATTCAGACAGAAGGGTCTAAATCAGGGGTCCCCAACCCCCAGGCCGAGGACTGGTACCAGTCTGTGGCCTGTCAGGAACCAGGACACACAGCAGGAGGTGAGCAGCAGACTAGCCGGCAGTTTCATCTGTATTTGCAGCCGCTCCCCAGCTCTAGCTCCACGGCCTCAGCTCCACCTCAGATCATCAGGCATTAGATTCTCATAGGAGCACCGGTCCCTGGTGCCAAAAATGTTGGGGAACATGGTCTAAACAATAACGTCAAGGGACTAGAGACACGGGAAAGTAATCTGAAAGGTGAAAGTTGGAGAACATATATTAAGCACAAAGGAAAAAACAGAAAGCAGAAAAAGGGCAAAGAGAAAGTCAGTACAATGTCACAGTTAATTCATCTAGTTAATTCCTACTCATCCTTCAGAATTGTCCCAGGTTCCAAAGTAACATTTTTAAGAAGGCCTTCTCAGATTCTCCCAGCACCAGATCAGGTCCCCATTTCAAGCTTTTGTAATACTCTGTACTTTAATTATAATCATAATCACACAACAGAATTCATTCTTTAATATATGTTCCCCCCGCTAGACTTTAAGCTCCAGAAGGACAAGGGCCATATCTATTGTTGCAGCCTATTGCCTTGCATGGTGTATTAGAATACAATATTTATTGAATGAAATGGATGGGTGTACAAAAGCCAAGGAAAGACATTTCAAAATACTACAGAAAGCTCAAATTGACTCAGAAAAGGGGCATAAATGTTTTTGATTAAGTTATAGAGGACTATTGTGAAGGTGAAACCCAGATAACAAGGGGTTAAAAAGTGAATAGATGGCCAGGAAATAAAGGCAGGAAAAGTAGACTTTGACAATCTCTAGAGATGGTATTATAAAGGACTGAACTTTAATTTTACTTCAATTTTGCTCTTCTATTTTCTTTCATGACATGTATTACTTTTATAAAGACAAAACTTTTTTTAACATTCATGTGATTTGAAAAGGAAAAGCAGCAACAAGACAACTTGAGGGAGCAGTAGATTCAAGAGATTTTTGTAAATTGAGGGAATCTTTTTTTCCATTAAAGTTGACATTCAATATTTTATTAGTTTCAGGTGCACAGCACAGTGGTTAGACAGTTATATAACTTACAAAGTGATTCCTCCCCATAATTCTACTACCCACCTGACAGCATACAGTTATTACAATATTATTGACTGTATTCTCTATGCTGTACTTTAATCCCCATGACTATTTTGTAACTGCCAATTTGTACTTCTTAATTGTAAACTGAGGGAATCCTAAGCACATTCATACTTTTAAAAACTCCAAGACAAAAAAGAGAGCAATTCATATTCCATTAAGAGAAAAATGAAACGAGGGATTAACTAGAAGAACAAAAAATATTCTTCCACTAAGAAGTAAAGAAGCACATGATAAAAGGAATCCAGTAAATTTTGGAAGGAACTCTCACTGGATGTCTCAATCTTTTTAGTAAAATGTTTGGAGAAGTGAAGAAAGTAGAAAAAGTCTGAAATGAACTCCACAGATAATGAGCAGGGGATTAAAAACAACAACAACAACAAAAACAGGAGTAGAATACCCGTTCTATTAAAAGTACATTCTAAGTTTCAATCAGCCTTTTGGAAACTCAACCTATTTCTAGCTCAGAACTGTCCTGTATTTTAGTTTTACGTTTAAATATTTAAATCTGGTTCACGAACTTTTATTTCAACAACTGAAAACAGTGGTATGCATTAAATTACAATCTACTTTAATTCGGAATTGAACTCCTCTTACAACTAAATACAATAAAGTTGTGTTCAACTCAAGCAACAAAATAGCGATCATTTCAAGAATGAGTAACTGAAAAGTGCTCCTAAACATAAGTGTTTGCAGAAAGAGGTGTTTTTGTTGTTGTTGTTGTTGTTATTTTTAACTCATCCTATGCCTCACTTTAAGAATTCCTGAATAGTAGTAAAGAAAATCCTAGCTCACTTAAACAAGCTATTTAACTTCTTTTCGTCTCGGTTTCCTCGTCTAAAAAATGAGGAATACAACAACCAGAGTTATCATAAGGATTAAATGACGTAACACAAGTGAATGTGCCAAGTTCGTACTATGTACTCAGAACAATTAATTTGCTAACCGTTTAAAAGAGAAAACCTGCAACATTGACCATATTAAAACATCCGAGAGCATGGAAGAGTACAAGTCACAAAATGCCAGACCCTAATACATAGCACAGAATTTTTCTTCCCTGACGCAAGCTATTTTTTTTTTCGCTGCCAAACCTTTCTACTAGGAGTCTGGAAAGAGGGGGAAAAGGGGAGGGTTACATTCGATCCAGGAGAAAGTTTTCAGAAACCGAAATGCATAATCACAACAGACATGGCAGCGCAGGACAACAGGTGAAGCTCCGAGAAACCTGGCACCTTCCCGCGGACAAGTTTTGAAGAGGGCATGCAACTCCTCCTGGCTCTACTACCCCACGAAACAGACATGTTTTTTTCTTTTTTTGCAGAAGCGTATGGAGACAAATCGCGAATATCAACCTCGCAGCCCCTGGGCGAAGGAGGTGAGCGCCTTTCCCATTTAAGGATTCAAGAAGCGTCCTTGGAGGCGGCTTTCGCCCACACAGCCTCCCCAAACTCAGCCTGAAACCCGGGGGTGAGGAACAAAAGAGGGGCCAGGCAGCCGAGCGGCCTCCAGGGCTCGACATTGGGCGTCCAGGAGGCCAGCGTCCGCGGCAGGTTCGGGCCCGGGGTGGGGGCGCGGGACGGCGGGGCCCAGTCGGCCGCGAGCTGACACAGCCGGGGCGGCAGGGACCCCGCGAGACGACCAGGCCCGGCCGCTCCCCGCTCGGGCCTCCCGCACGCGCATAGCTCCCCCTGAAACTTCGCCCGAAGCCCGCGCCGGCCTCCCTGACGCGGCCGGCCTCTCCCCGCACGCATACGCATTCTCCCGACGAGCCAACTCACCCGGACCCCGGGGAACTCATCCTCCAGCCCTCGGCGCGAAGCAGGGTGGGCGCGGTGAGCCACCGGGACGCGACGGGGGCGCGGTTCGGCCTCCGCCCTCGGCGTGCAGCGGCCCCGGCCCGGTCGCCCCTCGCGC